CAAACTGGGTAGAATTCAAGTGAATATATGATTTATTCTCCTCAGTAAAAACAATATCTTGATCCATATTTAATCTCATTTCTAATATTATTTATTTTAGTTCTATTTTAACCCCGAAATGAAAACTCTCACTTAATCTTAGCTAAGTCGGACATCTCATTAATTACTATCACATCACTCTCCTTTGTTTTACGAAGCCTAACCGCACCATACTTAAACCAGATGAACTCGTATCCTAGATCCTTTCCTTTTTTCTTCGCTTCTTTTAATAGGTTTCTATAATAAACAGTAAGGTTTTCACTTACAAAGATCTGGCCGCCCGGTAGTCCTGTCACCTGGTTGTTTGTCACAACCTTCCGCCTAGCTGCCAGCAACGCATCCCTCTTCTTCCTCCCGGCAAACTGGACGATGATGGTCGCAGGTCTATTGTCCCTCCGAGTTGATGGTAGACGGTGTGCAGCCTCGATGTCATCCTCTGTGATGTCTACTCCCATTTTCTCAGCAAGTTTCACAACTATTTCTTCCACATTTTCCTTCTTGTTTTCAGTTACTTCATTGATTTCTAGATTTTTGTTTCTGCCGTATTGCTCTAATTGGCTTAGACGCATACTCAAATCGTGAATCTCTTCATCCTTCCGCTGAATTACCAACTGTAGTTGCTCCACCTTTTCCTCCAGCTTCGGTAGAAGTTCCAGCTTGTGGATAATATCCTCATACTGTTCACTTATGAAGTGCTGACTTTTAATAACTTCCTTGCTGTCTTCTTTAATTTTATCTAAATCCTCCTTTAGTGTTGGAAGAATTTGTAGCTGCTTAGACACATCTTTCATAAATTTGTTAAATACCTCTGTAATATTTTCATCATTATCTTCAGAAACATCTTTTTTTAAATTACATTTTTTCCCTGACTTGCATTTTAGACATTTCCATTCCTGTTTGTGAATAAGTGTCATTTTTCTAAATATTGATTGACTTATTCCCGCACATGAATAATGATAACTAGTGGTCGTCCTGTGGTCGAAACTCGACCAAAAATAATTAATATACAGACTTCTCTATTTTCTCCCCACACTGTAAATAAAACATGTGATTGGAATTTCTTCCATTTGTTTAGATTTTCTGTTTACATTTTGTTGTTATTTCGTCACCATCATGGCAACCCATATGGTCCATGTTAATTTTTTGAAGTTTTCAAATTCATTTATTGTTCTTATTTGTTAGCCTATTTTAATTTTTAAAAGCATTCTGCACATCTACAGGAAAATATCTTTCCAACAGTATGCGTAGATTTTCCCTGCGATGCACACGAGCTGAGAAAAAAGGTTTTAAAGAAACATGCTTGCCTATTAATATATACATAGACATAGATTAGATTTACAGTTAAGTACTGAACAAGTAATTAAATCCTTCACGTCCAAAATGCTATCAGTGCACTGACCACAATCCATCTTGATATAACCTCAAAACTAGTAGTAGCTAATAACAAGGAAAACACAACCTTCCTCTAGCACTGCCTGAGACTGACTGAGGAAATCCAAATTGTGATACACTTAAAAAGTTGTTTCTTTCAAAAAAAGAATTCAGCTGGTCAAAAACCATGATTTCAAACAATTTTGATACTACAGGAATGATTGATATTGGGCGATAACTTTCTGGAATATCTTTTTTACCTTTTTTAAAAATGGGACAGACTCTGGTGACCTTTAATTCATCTGGAAAGACGCCCTCAAGGAGACAGAGATTAAAGCAGTAAGATAGAGGTTCAGCTAGATTACCAATAATCTGTTTAAGCAAACTATTAGACATGAGATAAACATCATTACTGCTAGAGTTTTTTAGTTTTTTTGTGGCTTTTATTAGATCATTAGGTGTGATAAAATTCCAGAAAAAAGGTACAGGAGTAATGGAAGAATTATTAACTAAATCTTTTGAACTGTAAGCATTACTAACAATTTTCATTTTTATGTTTTCAATTGATTCAATGAAAAAGGTATTCAAGACATCAGGAGATATTTTGGGTTTTTTTGTATTGATTAAAGAATTGCTACTGGTTTTAATGATTTGCCAGGCAGTTTTACATTTGTTATTACTTTTTTCTATGAGATTTGTGTTATATTCTATTTTGGCCTTCTTAATTGAATGCTTATATTGATTTTTTAACCCATTATATGCTTGTTTTGTTTCATTTGAAACGCTTTGACTATTTTTTACTATTTTATCTAGGAAAATTAATCTTTCTTTCATAACTCTTAACTCACTATTATACCAAGCATTACAATTATTTTTTTTCCAATTTTCAGTTTGAATTTTTATTACTTTAGAAAAATAAGAAATGTTATCTTTTAAAACTTTGAAAAAAACTCTGAACGTATCTTCTGCTGTTGAATTTATACAATTAAGCACTTGTATCCAATCATAAGTACCAAGCTTTTCTACTAATAAACCAACTGAATCTTTTGGCAAAATTACTTTAGAAAAAGAGTTTAAAGCAGCATATTGATTAACACAATCCTTATCCAAATTCAAAGTCAAATTAATTAGAAGACCATTATGGTCAGAGAAGGGGAAATCAAATACTTTACAGCTTATATTTGCGTTTTTACTACAATTTGTTAATACATTGTCCAGGCAATTGTTGCCTCGAGTGGGGGAGTGATTTAAGAAGTGAAAATTGTGCTGGCGTAGTATATTAAGAAATTGTTTAGAGAGGTAGTTGTTCTGAGTCAAGTCAAAACTTTTATTAAAGTCTCCTCCGATGATTGAAACATAATTAGTCCAACGAGAGAGATGAGTTAATAATTTATCAAAATTTTCAAGAAAAACCACAGGGTTGCCCGAAGGTGAGTGGTAGATAGAGACGAAAATTAATTTAAAATCCTCTATAAAGACCGCTGCTGCTTCTAAACTCATTTCAGAACAAAACTGATCCAAATCACACATTTTAACCTGCAAAGAATTTTTAGTGAAAACTAAAGAGCCCCCCCTTATATGATCAGTTCTGCAGTAAGCACTACCACAACAAAAACCATCAGGATAAGCTAAAGCAACCTCTTCTGTTTTTAACCAATGTTCAGTTAGACCAATAGCGGAGATATTATTCCTAAGTACAAATGACTCTAAAATTGATGTTTTATTTTTTAAGCCTTGGATATTTAGAAACAAGAGTGAAGGATTTACATTTAAAATTGATGGTTTTTTCTGTGGTTCTTGCTTGGCAGTCTTATTAAGGCTAAACATTATTCTTAGGCCTATTTGGATCCACGGGAGCAAATGACACACTGGCAGCGCGGTCAACACTACACTTCTGGGGAATAACTTCACTCTCACTTAGATTGGACACTTCAATGGCTGACTGGCTTAGAGATTCATTAGAGGAGGTGTCAACATCAACCTCTCGTAGGGTAGGGGTGCTGACCTCAACCTCAGGTGGTGTGGTGGGCGTGGTGACCTCAACCTCGGGTGGTGTAGTGGGCGTGGTGACCTCAACCTCAGGTGGTGTGGTGGGCGTGGTGACCTCAACCTCGGGTGGTGTAGTGGGCGTGTTGACCTCAACCTCGGGTGGTGTGGTGGGCGTGTTGACGTCAACCTCGTGAGTCCCACAAGGAGTGTAGATGTTAGCATCAGTTCCCGATTGTGGAGTGGGGGTGATGGTAACTGTATCATCAGCTGAGTTCTTCAAACTGTATTCCTTTATCAGAACATCTAGTTTCAATTGGAATTCGCCATGTGATAGTCCCCGTCTTAGCTCTCTTTGTGAACTTTGATTGTAGCTCACGATGAACACTGCAGCCCCTGTTTCTTGACGAAAATCCATAATTTTTTTGATAAAGTGTTCTGGTGCAATAAGATCCCTCACACAACCCGCCACAGCTCTCTTAGCAATGACGGAGGCTAAGAACAATTAGACCTATTTGTCCAGGGTATTCTAGTCATCAAGAAACTCAACCTTCACTGGCATGAGGTCTAAGTCATAACAGATCTGAATAGCCTACCATAAAATATAAATGATGCAGACTCTAAGAGCTTATAGGTCATATTTTGACCTGATCTGAAGAACTGTCCCAGGTTTGTGTCCAACAAAGTAAAGGGGGTTTTACTGAATTTTCCTAAAACATAGTAGATTACCCTAGGTGGCACATTAAGACCTAGACCTTGAACAAAATTTCTTTTTTTATTTTGATGTCCCAAGAGGCCGAAAACACTATTCATTGAACTTGTGTTAAACATAGGTCTGTGAACGTGATAATTTGAATAATTTTGGTCCAACATTTTTAGGGCGGGATAAAATTTAAAGATCTTGGAAACCAGCAAGTTTGGGTTATAGGAACAGGGTGTTTTGTGGTTTTGATATGTTTTTTTTTTTTTTTTTTTTTTCTTCAAATAACATGGAAATACCCAACTTAAATATAATGGCCATCGTGTTGAGTAAAAAAAGATTTTGTTGTTGAATTTATTGTACAATAATTAAAGGTTAAGGAGAAAATTCCAAAAAATGTACATTTAAAAACCCCATGTCATTGTTATGGAGAAAAATTGTGAGAACTCGTTCTAAAGTTGTGTGTTGGTGTTTTACGTCATGCTGTTATTGTGCACCTCAAGTACAAAAGGGGTATGGTACGACAGTAAATATTTAGTTTGGCAGCCTCTAAGAGATGTAGCCCATTTAATGTGTTTCTCTATAATTGATCCTAGATATTATTAAACTGGTTGTTATGCAAAAGAAAGACTTTTGTAATACTGAAGAAATCTGACATAATTTGGTGTTTGCTTGGTTCAAAGTTTTTTTTTTATGAAATTGATTTCTGTCATTTTGCAAGAGTTCACCTCAAGGTTGTTCTTTACATGGTAATAAGCTGCTAAAGGGTCAATGCTGTATTAGCAATATTTGGTATCGATCTTCCTACTATTGTAATGCGGCATCAGTGAACAAAATGCATTTTCAACATATTCCCCATAGTTTAAACATATTTCAAAATAGGTACATATGAAACGGCTTTCAGATGAAGATTTGACCTGGAAAGGTGGTACGACTGTTGGCTGGGGGTTTACATCCTTCTCAGAGGGGAGGCCGAGTCCAGCATTGCTCAAGCTGCAAGTTGAAACAATATCAAATGCAGAATGTAGTAGATTAATTGAGGAGCCTGTTTCACCAGGCATGATATGTGCTGCATCTCAACCACTGCAAGGGACATGCTTTGTAAGATCTTGATACTTGTCTATTAGAAAAATAAAATTAATTAAAGGTTTCAAACCGGGTCGCCGGATTTCTACCCCCGGATATTTACCCCCATGAAAAAACGCCTACGTCACTTTGACGTCACATTTATGGGGGTAGATTTCCGGCCGCGAACTTTTAGGATGGATAAATTATTGTATATTCAATCAACTCACATTTCACGGTTTACTTAACAGTTGAAATTAATCGAAATGCTAATAAACCTGACACCGGAACTTTACCCCCGGAAATCTACCCCCAGACATCCACCCCCGGACATCTACCCCCGGACATTTACCCCCAGACATCTACCCCCGGAAATCTACCCCCGGACATCTACCCCCGGACATTTACCCCCAGACATCTACCCCCGGATATCTACCCCCAGTAATCTACCCCCAGAAATGTACCCCCAGTGGTCAAATCATAAATGTCCGACCCCGGAATTATTTATTTCCGACCCCCGGAAATCTACCCCCCGTGCTACACTACGCATCGGTCAATATTCATTGTTGTAATTGATTTTAGTAATTGGTTTATAAAAATAATCAATGGCTCTTCGTTTAATAATTACCCTCTAATATCTAGTATTAAGCATGTGATATGTCGTTGTCTTGTTTAATGTCATCTATCTTCCCAATTCATTAGGCTGTTACTGATTTAGGTGTCATTTTTAAGCTTAAGATTCAGTGCAACGCAAATGGTAATTAAAAAGGATATTTTGATAAAGGGCTCCAAAAGTTTAACCCATAAGCATTTGATTTATTTTCAGACAGTGATTTAAATTGTTAACCAATTTTCACATACACTCATAGCTAACGGCACATGCACGAGCGCAGATCGTGAAATTTAAAACATATTACTGAAGGAGGTTATTTTCTGATTACTAGTGGTAAAAATGCAATTAAATGTTGATAAAAAGCCTGCCACAGGTTGATTAATGAATTAATAATTTTTACCTACGACCGTTTTTTAAAGCAGCCATTTCAGTCCAGTTCTTAGAATTGAAAAGTTTCACTTTACAAGCTGTTTACTTTCATATCCGCATAGTTTCATTTCATATCCGCATAGTTTTCTCATATCCACACAGGTAACGGACCAATGAGGTTCAAGTATTGAGAGAAAAGAATTAAAATTGTAATGCTTCGAACGTCAACTAATCAGCTGATCAGCTGATCAGTTGACCAATTCAATTGTTGATCCGACTTGTTCATGTTGATACTCGCGTATTCTTAATTAAGTTGGTGGAAGTCCAAAAATAAATGAAATATTTGCCGAATTGTACCTGATACAATATTATTTATGGTAAGAATGCTGCTAGCAATGTAATATTTAACAAAGTTTAACAAACACGTAATTACAGGAAATCAGCTGATTATACAACAAGTCGTTGCATCACTTTCAGTGGCAATGACAATACACGAAAACATAACCTCTCTAAAAAGTTATCATTAGTGATTGTTAGTAATTAAATCCAGATTGATAGTAATTAAAAAACGGTCGTAGGTAAAGTAGTGTACGCAACTCGCGTTAATAGTCTTTACGACACTCGTAGAAGTTTTTAAGGCACTCGCCAAGGCTCGTGCCTTAAATTTTCTACTCGTGTCGTAAAGACTCACTTAACGCAATCGTTGAGTAAACTACTATTTCACTATCAATTACCTAAAAGTAATACGAAATAGCATAATCCCTACGTCGTAGACACTACCCGGAGTTTTACATTGGCTAAAAAGTCTAGTTGTTTACACAAATAATTAATCGTAAAAAATAAAACATAAACATATTTTTTTATTGGTTCTGGTTGTCAATGCTGGTTGTGAAATAACGGAGAATAATGTAAACAATAAAATTGGATATTTCGGGATAGGGAAGGCATTTTTACCTCAGGGTTCTTTTGGTTTTACGAATTTATTTTAATTAAATTAGAGTTTAGTATGAACATTGCTTAAAATTATATATTTTTTGGTTATTTTTACGTTTCATACATTAAAGAAGCCAAAACAAGTCTTTATCTCAATTTCTGTCTTGTCTGTCAAGACCCAGAAGGCATTTTACGTGGCCTTCTTCTCAAAAACTAGAGCATCCATTGTGATTCGATTTAAATAGTCTTTTTGGATTCGGTGGATTGACACGAGTAACTTAAGCCATTAAAATATGGCCTCACTACTTTTGAATTAAAATAAATTTGGTTCAAACCCCCAATTTTTTGCATTTTTGTCAAGTTTAGGCTACTCCTAATGTTTACCAGTAATTAATGAAATACTAATAATTTGTTTGGAGAATACGACATCAATGAAATAACGAACAGCTGTGAAAGATGAAAATCTGGATAAAGATGATTTTTTCTAGCTGTCACTGGAAATTTGTTATTACATTTTGTTTACAAATACTGCAACCATTTCCGATCATGATTTGTAATAAAATCCAAAATCAAGTAAGATTAAAAACGTTGTGACTCACGTAAATAAACGGATCAAATAAATCGTAAGTGCAATAATATGTAACTAGTGTACATGTTGCTCGAATTCGAGCAATGCAAAGTATTAAGGGAGTTATTTCAAAATGAATAACAATGAATATTTACAATGAGTTTAAATGAGTCAACTCAAAGATTACCGGTGTGTAACTAAAACCATGTTTATCTTCGTTATTGATAAACCTAAAGCATTCCGGCCGGTTTTCTCCCTCTCAAAATGTCTCGCTGTATAGGCAACACAGGTTATTGATAGAGGGCCAATTGAGAACGAAAAGTCGTTTTGGGGTAGTGTTCCATCTCTTGTTTACAGTTGCAGACGATCTATTCAGGTTTTCAACCTGACTTAAAAATGGAACTGATTAGTAATCTGCTCACATTTCACCTTTATAACTGTTACTGTATAGTGTGAAAGTTGGTCAACCATTGGAAGCACCTTCTAGGAATAAATCAAAGGCTTAGGGGTCAACCTTTTGAAGCCCTAATCTAAATATCCTTTTTAATTACCATTTTGCTCTGCGCAAGATCTTAAGCTTTAAAATGACACCTCAATCGTAACAATCGGCGAAGTAGGTCGGGTGAAAAAAGGACTGTTACAGCTTATTGAATTAGGAAGATAGACAATGTTAAACAAGACAATGACATATCGCATGCTTAATACTGGATATTACAAGACAATGCTTAACCGAAGAGCCGTTGATTTCCGGGGGTAGATGTCTGGGGGTAGATATCCGGGGGTAGATGTCTGGGGGTAGATGTCCGGGGGTAGATATCTGGGGGTAGAAATCAGAAATCAGAAATCAGAAATCAGAAATCTTTATTCACCATTGATCATATTACATGAAATAGGCTTCGTCATACAATATAGGCTAAATCTATCATAATACTAAGGAAAATAAAATCTACACATATAACAATCATAAACCTATATAGGCCCAAATACTACTGACAATAACAACCAACAATAGATGTCCGGGGGTAGATTTCTGGGGGTAGATTTCCGGGGGTAGATGTCCGGGGGTAGATGTCCGGGGGTAGATATCCGGGGGTAGATATCCGGGGGTGGATTTCTGGGGGTAGATGTCCGGGGGTAGATTTCCGTGCTATGGCAAATCACTTTATAATCAAACAATTACATGTTGATTATTTAATAATATATTGGGGGTAAATTTCCAGTCGCGGGCTGTTTCTCGACCGTGTATAGGCCCCGCCCCTCGTGACGTCAAAATGACGTAGGTGTTTTTTCATGGGGGTAAATATCCGGGGGTAGAAATCCGCTACCCCTTCAAACCTCTATTTTACTTTATGATATTTACAGTGTTCTCAAAGTTTACGTCTAAAGAGTCGTTTTACAGCATATATGTAGCTATATAATAATAATAATTAGGGTAATTTTGCAAAATACGTCAAATAAATGTTACTAGGGGACCATAGCAGCTGCTGCACTTCACCTCCGTCGTAATTTGTACTTAACCATTCCCTATGCTGTGCATCATTCCTAAATACTCTCCTTTGTAGTTTCACCTAACACGATACACTTTAACACTGCATTAGCATTCTAGCCAATAAACAAACAAATACGCAATGTTTACGTCAGCTGGTATACAGTATTTAAAACAGCTTATTGAAACACTGTAGCAGTTACAGTTTGGCCGCTTAGAAAACGACCTGCGCGCTAATGCTAAACCAATGCTGGAGAAGGTCGCTTTCTAAGCGGCCGAACTATAGCAGTAAGTACTCCTTTAGAAAATGACTGGATCTTTGGCGGCCTGTGGGGCAAAGCAGAGGTAGTTTTTGACTCTTCTGATATTTTCCCCACCGTCCTTGGACCTTAAGCTTTAAAATGAATTCCCAACAGCCATGATACCTTTTTCGTAGCTCGAGATATTTTGTGGGGACCGATTTGCTTATGGAATTAAATAAAAAAATATAAACTTGTGCTATAAAAAATTAAATAATGCTATAAAAAATATCCTTATGTAAACTTCGATACATGACAAATGGTTAAATTATTAAGTGAAATCATAGAAGAGTTTGGCAAGAGTTGAAAAATACAAAAGAAATATTTTATTATACTACACCTACAGATAAATAAACCCCATAATCAACCAGTGGTTATGGGACAAATTGATTTAACTGTTCGAAGTAAACTTTATAATATAGCTTACTTCTTGATCCATGCCTAATTAATAATTACATATCAGGGATGTATGGGGCTGTACTTTAAATTTGGGAAGGTAGAAGATATTTTTTCCTTCCTGATTTTCAGGACAGGATTTTTTCACGTGTGACAAGGGAAGCATTATTTTTCTAATGAAAACAATCGTGGAGACATCATTATTATCATACGTGATCGTAATTGCTGATAGTAAAACAAATCCTTTCTTGAGAACACCATTATCGACACTATTCATAAGGCTGTAAATGCATAAGTTGGAAAAAAAACATGCATTTTTTTTTAATAATCATGATTTTAGGTTTAAGACTACAACATTTAGTCTTTTTCTAACAATTTGTGTCAACTTTTCAGGGAGACAGTGGAGGACCTCTGACGGTGACCAATCACGAGGGAGTCAGCACAGTGATAGGACTGGTCAGTTTTGGTATCAGTGGCTGTGCTATGGTGCCTGGACTACCTGACCTCTACACTAGAGTATCTGAGTATCTTCCATGGATCAGCATCAACCTGTTGTAACTCTACGAGGGAGCCAGCACAGTGATAGGACTGGTCAGTGTTGGTATCAGTGGCTGTGCTATGGTGCCTGGACTACCTGACCTCTACACTAGAGTATCTGAGTATCTTCCATGGATCAGCATCAACCTGTTGTAACTATACGAGGGAGCCAGCACAGTGATAGGACTGGTCAGTTTTGGTATCAGTGGCTGTGCTATGGTGCCTGGACTACCTGACCTCTACACTAGAGTATCTGAGTATCTTCCATGGATCAGCATAAACCTGTTATAGCTCTACGACGGAATCAGGACAGTGATAGGACTGGTCAGTGTTGGTATCAGTGGCTGTGCAATGGTGCCTGGACTACCTTAACTCTACACTAGAGTATCTGAGTATCTTACATGGATCAGCATAAACCTAATGTAACTCGACGAGGGAGTCAGCACAGTGATAGGACTGGTCAGTGTTGGTATCAGTGGCTGCGCAATGGTGCCTGGACTACCTGACCTCTACACTAGAGTAACTGAGTGTCTACCATGGATCAGCATAAACCTGTTGTAACTCTGCGAGGGAGTCAGCACAGTGGATAGGACTGGTCAGTGTTGGTATCAGTGGATATAACAAGAATGGTCCTCTTTATAAACTTGCTATAGTGAACAAATACAGAGTTACTAAAGGTTAAACATTGACTTTTTTAAACCTAATCATTACTGTACTTTATTTCTGTAAAAACTATTTTTTCTACAGTCACCCGGCAAAGTCGGCTTCCTTGCAAAGATTACAGTACAGAGAGCCTTACTCTGGTGCACACCAGTATTCCAACCAAACAACACAAAAGAGCGTGCTTTCACTATGCACGTAATCCGTGTACGCTTGAAAATAAGTTGGCAACACTTGAAGATATTACGACTACGATCAGCTGGTGCAGTGTTTCCTACCTATTTCGTATAATGTTTGGATTTAACCTAACCTAAAAACGTGTTGTAGAGTGTGTGAAAGAACAATTATTTATTGGGTTTGCTGTAAACAGCAAAATAGCCAAAGATAATAGTAGAATAGTAAAAAGCTTTTTCAAACGCAACCATTACGTCGTAGCGAAAGTAATCACCGTCGTCCTGCCTACCTCCAAGATTATGACCTCAAACCCTAGAAGGCGAGAATGTTATCGAATTTTATATTTAGCGGAATCCCGGTCATGGAAACGCCATTATCAATCATGCGCGATCGTGGCATAATCACAAAAAAATCCCGCGGCCGCAGGGTTTCCACTGACCTGAATAACCAGGAGACTCAGGAATTATGCGTGATTTTTTATAAATCTCCTATTTATAAATCTCTTGCGGTCACAAAAACGCAATAGTCGCCATGCCAGATTGCGGAAAAATCATTAAAAAATCCCGCAGGTGCTTGGAGTTTGGACATCACCATCGTCACCCGTGGTCACGGAAACGTCATCTTCATGCGCGATCAAGGCAAATTGAAAATTCCCGCATAATTCCAGGGTTTCCCGGTTATCTAGGTAGGCCACCCTGTAGGGCTTAAAGCTGTTGTCGTTGTCCCCCGCGGTCACGGAAACGTCATCTTCATTCGCAATCATGGAACATAAAAAATTCAGGGTAAAAAACAAAATTCTCGCATAATTCCCGGTTGTCCTGGTTATCCAGGTCGGTGGACACCCTGTAGGGTTTAATGCTGTCCTCATCGTCGTCTAACACAGTCACGAAAACATCATCGTCTCCCGCGGTCACGGATACGTCACCGTCGTGTACCTCTGTCACAGAAACGCCATCGTAACAAATCCCACGGCCTTTTAGACATCATCATCGTCTCCCGCTGGAAACATCATCTTCTTACGCAATCGCGGCAAAAGGAAAATTCCCGGTTGGTGAAATATGAAATTTACGCATAATTCCCGGTTAAAAAAAATCACGCATAATTTCAGGATCTCCCGGTTATTCAGGTCAGTGGAAACCGTGAGGGAAAACCAGGTGGACCTGGAAAACCGGGAATTTTCAATTTGCCGCAATCGCGCATGAAGATGACGTTTCCGTGATGCATAATTCCGTTTTTCTACGTCCACCTGGTTTTCTCTCAGGGTTTTTACCAACCTGAATAACCGGGTAAACCAGGAATTATGCGTGATTTTTTTAAAACGGAAAAAACCATTGAATTATGCGTGAATTTTGTATTTTATCAGGAATTTTCAATTTGCCGCAATCGCGTTTGATGATAACGTTTCCGTGACCTCGGGACTATACGATGACGTTTCCGTGACTGCGGGAGACGACGACGACAGTTTTGTGGGATTCTTTGAATTAAAGATTTAATTTGATTCAGGATTACAAAATTTTGTTTTTTCACATAGCCTATTTGAGATAACACTGCTGGCAGTAACTCCTTCATATAGCATTTCTGTCATGTTATTTTGATCGAATGCCCATTTTTGTTGGAGAAATAGTCAGTTACATACAGAAAATGAATAACAAGAATAATCTTCATAAACTTTTTATTTTACTATACAGAGAAATGTAGAGTACACTAAAACATATACCGACATAACATATATTTACAGCATCTTGTCACGAAGTAATGTTAAATCAATAACAAGTCACCACTTCTTTGTTCAGTGGACATTATTGAGAGAAATTGTTTATAACATGTAAATAAAGCACAAAAGAAAAATCTAGAGCAGATTGTAGAAAAACTGCAAATTAAAAATAACAAATATTAGCCTACTAATAAGGATATATCTTTACAATAAAGGCACATTTTTAGAATTAAAAACCCAATTATATTTTTAATCTTATTTCAATAAAACAGAAATTGCATTCGTCTTCATTTTGCAAAACACATTGAGCCACAAATTCTTTTTGGATCCGGTAACCAAAAAACACAACCAATCTCTTTAATAGTAAATGTACTTATTCAATAATAAGTTATTTATAACAGTAACACTAATTGTAAACAATTAAACAACACTTAAAATAGGAAAATTAGTTAGACTTATATTTTTTGTAACACTATATATTGAACACCACTTAGTTATAATAAGTTAAGTTAAATTATTAAATGAACAAAATTAAGGTTGGTTAGCTATCCATACAAATTTATACCAACAGAGTTTAAACCAGAAGTAAATGTGATATTTTCTTTTAGTCCCACGGGCAGAGAAATTACTAACATTCCTTGAATAACTTACATTACTCAAGACTTGACAATTCAGCTGTAAAACTTGTTTTAGGGTAAAATTCTTGGGTTACTTGAAAATAATTTTCCTAAAACAGAAATATATCCAAGTCAATTTACTTGCTACACACTTGAACCCCACATATTGAATTTTCTTTTTAAATTGTAATTTTTACCCATTATAAGAAGTGTTTGTGTGTATTAATGACAATTTCAAACACTTAAATACATGTTTTAAATAAATAGTTAGACTTTGAACATGTTTTTATGGAGAGTTATGTGAAAAAGACTATTTCCTGACAAAAGTGTACTGTCACTGATTTGACATTGTTATTTTAAACCTTTATCATCTGTAGAGTAGAAGTCTTGTCCTTCTTTCTTTGTCAATGAACCCCGTTTTCAAACCTTCCAAAATGTAGTCATTGAACATAGCATATATTACCCAGGATACAATAAAGTTTGTAAAATAAATACTATCTCTATGGCTATTAAACCAGATTACTACTATTTGATGAATGCATATTAATGTATATATGATTATACATAAACTTGGTTGTTTTAACAAAAAACTTCAAAACTATTTGTTTTTATTTGATAGCAATAACAAAATAAATATGGCTTCATGAAATAACATTGTACAAAAAAGTCAAAAGTCACAAATCAATGTTAAGAAGAATATTATTTTGAATTCCAAATAAAGCTTTAGACTGCACAAGTTTTAACACCTTAAACTAAAAGTAAAGGTTTATAATCAAACAGAGTATCACTGTTGCAGAGTAACTTTGTGGTGTAAATTTTATTATTGCTATAAAATTACAAAGGAGTAAACTCAATAACTGCATATTGTTTGACATAATCATTATTTATAACAGCATTATATCAAATGGAATGGATATAATACAATATCTCATTATGAGTGTGTATACTTCAAGTATACAATACATTTGACAACCATAAAACCTCAGGTAGGACTTGGTTAACGTGGAACTTGGAAAAAAACTAATATATACAATATAACATCTTCATATATGAAAGATACATAAAGTACAACAAAATATGTAATTTGGAAGAACTGTACATTTATATATATATATATATATATAGATAATTACATTAATTGTACAGACCAAGCAGCTATACAGCCCACAGTATATCACAATAACAGGTACCTAACTCAGAATCAGTCTAATATATCCCGACTATCAAATTTAGAGCTCTCATAGAACAAGATGTAAGCAGCAGATGACTTGACGTCACTAGGAGAAATCTCATTTACATCCTGGTCGTCAAATTTGTACCACCTACAAAACCACACACATTGTATTATCAAGCTTTACAATTTTGAGTGTTAAAATTTTTAAAAGAGGACAATATATTTTGTTTGTTAATGTAAAATAAATGTAACAACATTTAAACCATTATTTGACTGCAAAACATATTTTGAACATACATAGATAGGTTTCAGTTTCAATCCTAACAAAAAAAAACACAAATTTTTACGTAGGCCTACAGTAATTTCTTATCCTTTGGAATCCTGATTGGACGAGTTGATTTTTTGAGGAATTTATAGTTTAAAAAGCTAACAACTTAAAAATAATCAAAATACTCGAGACATTTTAAAGACAGCAATGGTTTTGAAAAACTTATGAGGTTTTGCAGAGTGAAAAATTAAACTAAGTATTTTATTGCCTGGTCTCAATTTCTTAAATAAGTTAAAAATTTTAAATTTGAGAATATTTAGATTGTGTTTCATAAACAGTTTTACTTTAAAATCTGTTTAAATGCAACATTTTACTTACTTGTTTAGCATGTGGTTCTTGCAGTAGGCAGTGTAGTGCCCGCTCTCCATGCTCCCATAGTGGTTGGATACTGCATACAGGTTGTAGTTGTGAAACCTGTCATCAGTGAGGTTTGAAACGTTAACGTTTTCAGTTAAATCGTCTTTCACTAAAATTTGAATTAAATCTTGTTTTCTCCATTTTGAATATACAAAGTGATGCAATATTATTGTATATCACACAAAAATTACTACTTTTATATTAAGAAAAATACATTAACACTATTGGACTTACTATACTCATCACAATACACTAAGGTATCAAAAGTGTGTGAAAGGTAATAATTAACCTTTCTTTTATAAATACAATTTATCAAAATAAAATAATTCAAGTACAGTACTAGAGTACAATAAAAGGTAAATATCTTCAGCTCAATAGTAAATAAGTTCTTACAAGTCAGCTTTAATTTTAAGGAATGCTTTTTTTCAGTCTTCTGTTAATTTAATTTCCCTAGAAGCCAGACCAAGTGAAGCTTTTCCGTAACAAGAAGCATTGGTTTAAACAATAACCAATTCATTATAAACATCAATCATAAAAGTTAATTTTAACAAAATAACAACTATGCATTCTTCTTTTAACTTCATAAATTTTTATAGGTCCAAGATGGAAATGTATAAAACCATACAATATATTTAGTATGGATAAAGCGAAGATACATTATTGCAGATGTATGGTATTACACTAAACAAATTTGTAATACAATGCACGGTAAAGCAATGAGCTTTAGGGCTGATAGATCATTGCTAAAATATCAGTTGGTCTTGGCCAGTAACAAAGCTTCATTCAATCAATTCTACACTTACAACGCTCCATTGTATCTTATAGTACGGTATGCACAGTTTCTAACCTCAATTCACTATCAGGATGTGTGAAAGGTTTCATGTCTAGTTCACTGATGGGGAAGTCGACCATGTTCATGCGTTTTCTACACCAGCCAACTCCCACCATATCATTCATGAACCTGGGAACAACCAACAAACATGGTTAGAATGTTAAAGAACATGAAACATACCATTAGCCTTCAAACAGTACTACAACAAAAGCACACTTTATCTTATGAGAAACACTTAAGTATTTACAGAGAATCGTCAATAGAGATCTCAGACAGAATTTTAAAAACCAAGTTCAAAGTGTAAAACATTGATTACAAAATTTTGAATTTAAGAAAACATACACTAAATTGAAGCAAACATTTACAAGGTTAGCCAATAATAACTCTCAGTTAACGAAGGAAAAGTGAAACTAATAACTAATTTCAAATGTGTCACACAAATTGTTAGGCTAGAAATTGATTTTGATTATAAGGAAATCTTGACTGCTGAACAGTCATAACTGCGAGGTAAGAGAAAGTTGTGAAAGCAAAAGATTTATTATTTATGATTATTACACTACTATTGATTTTGTGTCTTACTAGTAGTTGAAATTTATTGTTTCAGTTATCATTATTCTTTACCAGCAAACTATAAAAATTAGTGATGGGTCGGTACTTCACGTCGAATGTTGGTTCTGAAACCGGTCACCGATAATGCTCGAAAATTACCGATATTGCCACAATCACGCAAGACAACGCTGACATTTCCGTGACCGTGGGAGTCAAATGCGGAAGATGATTTTACCCCGATCGCGATCTCGGACTACGACGATGACGTTACTGGGATCCCAGGAGACGAAGATGACGTCTACATGGCCACAAGAGATGTTCATTATTTTGCCGCGATTGTGGACGACGACAAACGTTTCCGTGACTGCGGGAGTTCATGATGTTGCCTACATGGCCGCGCATAATTGTTCATCATTTTCACCGAGAACCGAGAATCAACTTTGGCTAGGAACCGGTACCCATCACTAATCAAAATATTAAGTTCATATATCATAAAATTTTATAATAATATGTTGCGACTGTTGTTATTCTTTGTTATATATTTACCAATTTGTTAGGCCTACATTTAATTATATATATAGGCCATATATTTAGTTCTGTAAGGGAATTGGTCCCCAAAAAATATCTTGAGCTAGGAAAAAGGTGGCATGGCTGTTGAGGATTCATTTTAAAACTTAAGGTCCAAGGACGATGGGAAAAATATCCGTAGTGTCAAAAATACCCCTGCTCTGCACCACATGCATTCAAAGATCCAGTCATTTTCTAATGGAAGTACTGCTACAGTGTTTCTATAAGCTGTTTTAAATATACCAGCTGATGTAAACATTGCATATTTTTTTGTTTATTGATTTAAGTCAGAATAGTAATGCAATGTTGAAATGTATCGTGTTAGGAGACGACCGAGACTACGAAGGAGAGTATTTAGGAATGGTGCATAGCATATTTTTTATAGGGAATCGTTAAGTACAGTGTGAAAAAATAATATTGTTTGGGGAAGATTTTAACCAGATACTGCCTGTTTTTCTAAACAAAAAAAGGTACAAATAATATAACATAGAATGCATAGTATACAGTGTATAGTAAAAGGAGCATACCCGTACACACAACAGTAAAATCTGGAGGTAGTTTCTGTTTTTTATATTTCTTAAACTAACTAAAATGTGCATGTCAATACTAATGAAAAGGAATTTGGTGATTCACTTCGACAACTGGGAAACGGAAGCCTAACCAGTGTCAAACTATTTAGAGATCACCAATTTTATTAATTTTGTTTTATAGTACCTAACAGTAAACGGTATTTACTCAGAAACTATTACATTAATTTGTTGCCTTTAGCAGATTTTAAACTGTGGAAAGAATTTATTTATTTATTGAAAAACTAGCTGAGGTGTCCTTTGTACGGGGTTGGTATACAATGCTTATTGTAGTTGAATACTCATGCTTTGCGTTTTCAATGGGAGAGGACACGTTTTTAAGAAAATTTGGTTTACTATGATTTACTACTGTATACTATAATATATCACATTTACCATAGCCATGCTCTACCACTTTACCTAACCAATAGAAAAATGTAAAGTTCTAACAGCTTTTTTGTTGCTGCTTGCTTCAAATTAGCTGTTGTCATAAATGTTTAAAGATCTAATGGTGCTGCACCCTGTTGGTAAACCGTATAACCTTTTAATGCTATTGAATATCATAGAAACAAATTGTGTAGTTGAAACAGCTGGCAAAATTATTTCATTCCTTTTAAATATGAATACTCATAAGGTTAACATGGGAAACTCTAGAGCCGCTGGGGCGGAGCCCGAAAGGATTTTTGAGGTAAGAACATGTCTATAAGTTAATCGGGAATGTGAGCTATCATCATACCAAATTTCAACGCGATCCGACCATTAGGTAGTTAATGCGTGATTGAACTTCAAACAAACAAATAAACAAACAAACACACAAACTTTCACATTTATAATATTAGTATGATAATAACAAAAAAAGTAAACAAAAATAAGATATTCACTCAAAGGATATAGTGTATTGTACAGGGCCTGTCACATTGATAAATTTGTTCTTAGTTGGTTTAAATATTACACTAATTTGTTTTACATTTGAGATTTTTAGGGACTTCTGTCCTTACAAACCACTATTACCTATTTAATATGTTTTTTTGTTTAATTTAAAAGTTTATACTGAAGTTAAGTAATTTTAAGAAGATTCCTTGCATAGTAAAAAATATTACACATATTTGTATTACAGTTTATTTTAATATCAAAATGATTATCATCATGTAAAGTCAAATTTGGTCACTGTTTAAGATAAGTAAATCTTATTTTTGTACCGTTAAAACTTAAAAGTTCTGCCTTACTGATTGTAAGATAAGGATAGAAAATACATTAGTGTCATAAGAAATTCTGCAGACAAGCCTTTTTATACTATATGTTCTGTACCAAATTAATAAATAAATACGAAAACTGCGTTGAATAACTTCTTTACCCAAGAAAAATACCAAGGAATTTTTAAAATTTTATTTCTTACTCCTAGTGCATTAAAACTATTGTACATAAAACTATTTTGGTAAATTCTTGATATGTATTGTATTAGCCTACAACACTGTTGTTTTTAAAATATCACAGTTCATTTAAACAAATAAAATAAACAACAAAGCAGAACAAATAAAAATATTGATTGCTAGCTTCAAGTTGAGGTCACACTTCCCATGACTATCGACTGTTCCTTATATCTGTCTATTGTGCGCTAAGTCACAACAGATTTAATTAAGCTCAGGTCAGGACGGATGACGACATAACACCTAGCTGCCTGTGATTGGGTGATGAGTAACCATGACAACTTGTTGAATGTGTGAATTAAGAGAAACCCAAGAAAGATGAGAAAGAATAAGAATCATTGATGGGTTATGAATTTATTATGCTATCTAACAAAACTGTCGACGTTAAATAGTATCAGACCAGGGGTTGGACCGTTCCCTAACAAAACGATAAAAAATTCCAAGGTTGTATATAACACACGAAAATGGTACGTCATTACTATCTTTATCTCCTTTTTACAAGTGTTGTTATTATTTTAAACTCTGCTATTATTGTCTCCAATAAGATTTGTTTTCAACTATGGCAACATCAATGCTAGTTGATTATTATTATCGCCACTCCTCTGTTCTAAAACAGCATAGACTAACCTATCACAGGGTAGCCTATCACTTGGAGTAGCTTACTAAACTTAGCTTTTTTCCCAATTTTTTACTATAGCCTATTGGATTAACCAAAGTTAATCATTACAAAGCTAATGTTAATTACCTCTTGAGGTGGATGATAAGAACTGGTGGGAGCCGAGTAATGTCCAGCTTCTTTGTGGCCTTCCTCTCAGTCTTACACTTGGGGCAGACCCAGCCACTGATAGACTCTCCTTTAAGATATAGTTTCAGACACTCCTACAATGTAACAAACAAAATACATCAACAATGTGATCAATAATTGCAAGCGATGCCCAAGTCCAAGATGTTAATAGTGTAATCAGGTTTTACTGCTTTGGTTATGCATAGCCCATAAGGACTCTTGGACGCCGCCCTCCCAACAATACATAAATAAGTTACATTTTAATATTCTTTAGTTATATTAAATTAAAATTACTTAACGAGTACTTATAACAATATACAATATAAATTTATCAAATAGTTAGATAACTCAATTCAGTAATGACTTATTTTTGATCGACGCTTGCTAGGTAAGGATGGTGTGGATGGCGGCCAGACCATCCCAATCCCAGTACATTAAGTTTTATGGCAGAACAACCGAATATCGCTGAGGGTGCCATGACGTCATTCCAATGTTTTAGAATAGGAGCTCTGGGGCAGAGTCCAAAGTTGCGCGCACACTCTTAAATCAGGGTAGCCACCACAATCTGGATATTCTGTATGGCAAGCTACCGTTATGATGGGTAGAACTGATGTTGGCGCACCTTTGTCATAACTCAAACCATCTAATTTATAAAACTAGAAAAAACTGAACTAACCTCAGACTGTTATTTTGTTGTTGTTTAGTGATTAATGAATATTGATGTAAGAGTACTGTTCGTGCGTCTGTGTGTATAATTAAAATACTAACTGTATACTTTTATTAAGTTGATTTCACATCCAGTTTAGTTTAAGGTAGGCCCAACATTTCTGGTTAATTAATCTTATTGAAGTACAATAGGGTTTTACATTACCGATATAATTTTAAATGAAATTTTTTGTCGTAAGCTGTTTTAGTTATTTGGCTTTCCTTTCCAAAAATTATTACCTTGTATTGCCTTGTATATTTTATAGAATATTATCATTATTTTGTTAGTGCTATTTCCAGGACAGACCCATTAGCAGACATTTGTTATTAAGTTGAATACAACAGCAACCTTGTAAACAAGTTTAAATACATAAATATGCCTAGGATTGTAATGTGTGCTTGTATTACAAATTATAAATTTAAATTTTTTCCATTCTTTCTCTTTGACAATCGTGAATGATGGTAGGCTTTCGTTTGTAAAATATGCAGAGCCCTCCCACTACCTATGATCGCCAGCCGCTACTGATATAGATGATACAAATTATAGAACTATTTACTGTAGAGCCGCTTATTAATAATCCACTTCTTAGAATAACCCTGAGCTTCATACTGAGTGCAAGTCTTGACATGAGTCACTAGCAATTTTGTGATTTTGCTTTGAATATTGGCCAATACCTAATTTATCAAGCGATTTTGATTTGAAAGTAAATGTTCTATTTGTCTCACTACTGTTTGTACAGGGTGAGGCAATGAGAACGCTACAATTTGTTTTACCTGTCACATGTTAATTGTTGCAACAATGAATGATCAGCTGTGCTTAAAACATCAATTAAACTATGCCATTTTAGTAAATATTATGCCTGAGGCTATTAACACTGAGATTTTGATGTGGAAACCTATTTATAAAATAGTGGTTCTTGTGCAAAAAACCAGAGATTGTTTGGACCGTATTCCATCCTTGGTCAACATGGCGCTGTTCCAGATTGGAAAACAGTGTTTAACTGGGTAAAATTATTTAGGATTATCGCTTAAACAAAAAAAAATAATCGGTGGGTGCCGCAAAACTCTTTGTACACCAGCAATGTTAAAAGAATATCAGTCCAAGTAACTCAAAGTCCGAAGAGATTTGCCAGGAAGCTTTTGTTGTTGAAAGCTTTACGTTGGCTATTTTTTTTGGGAAGGGGGGGGGGTTGTTCTAATAAGCTACTTAACGTTCTAGGTTTTTCAAAGTCACCCCACAGATTTGCTTGAACCGAAGCTAAGGATAGTCCAAAAACTAAAGTGATTCCTGAAGAAGTGCTGGAGGAGTATTTGATGGAGTTTCAAGTGGCTAAAAAGGAATGTCAAGTGGGACAATGAAGTCACTTGTAGGGTTTTGTTCTCAAGAAATGGAAAAATGACTTTGTTAAGTTAAAATGGCAAAAGATAGGCTGTGTTTTGGTGTGCTATTTATATCCATAGGGTGAATATTATTGAGTTTGTACTGTTTATAAATTGGGGCGCTTTCATTGCCCCACCCTGTATAAAGGTGTCGGTACTACTTGTAATATTAGACATAAGATGTTCTACTGTGGTGTGATACCTGCAGTGAGAAGGTTCGATCCTTGTCATCCACAGACGAAGGTAGCGGGATTGAGAGATTGGAGAATGGTTCAAACAGCACTGACTGTGTCTGACACTGGTCACACTTGACTGTAGACTTGAGTTGGCCGTAGAACAAGTCCAGCACCACAGAATTGTTCTTCTGTCTGAACTCTCCCCAAGCTTTCTCACCAGTAGCTTCCTCTGCTCCCTCCAGCGATAGTATAGGAGAAGGCTACAACATTTATCATCTTTACTTTCTTGTGCTGATAGACATTACTTGTTTGTAGAGGGGTTGAAAATGTCAAACTGACATGTTTGTCATGATTGTAGTGGGTTGTATTTCAAAATCATTAACTCCTAGTGTTGTCATACAATATAAACAACAAAAAAGATGGTCGGATTTCAAATTTCAAATATAAAATCTACAGTTTGGTAAGTTTTCACTAGAGTTAATATCTATTAAATACTTACTGGTAATATAGGAGATTGCTATGAGATAAGCCTAAAATGAACGTGTGATATAGCTATTTTAAAACCTACGGAAAAAATCTACAAATTGTTTTTCTTTATTGTAAAAAAATAATACATATATCCACACAATATATTTATATTTCCTGCAGGACATAGAACTTGAAATTTGGAAAATAAACAATTAACGTGGTTTATTTGATGACAAAACCTTCTAGAATTTAGCAGGAAAAATGTTTAACATTCTCAGCAATGGAGAGTTATAAATTAATGATAGATACGTTATTATATGAAGCCTAAAGAAGATAAAAATAGGAAAAGAAGAGAGTGGGATGGGGATAAGTTATGAACTCAAAAAAAGAATAGGTAGGCAAGTGAGAAGAGTAGGTTTACAGGGCCCTTCTAAATCAACTAATAAGCATTGCTATTGCATTTGTAGAGACGTTTTATATTTTAATATGTGAACCTTATTCTCTTTCTTAGCTCACAAAAATATGTTTGTCGAAATCGTTGTAAACTATTTGCAGTTTTAATTCAAAATTGATATGTAAAACTTAGTAGATAAAATATTGAATCAAAAATTTTTTCATGAAAATCAATTGAATTTACTGTAATAAATCCCAAAAATATCCATAACATTAAACAATTATTGACAAAAACTTTATAAAATGAACTAATTTATCATGAAGTTATATTGCCCTATCAGTTTTTATGACCTAGAGATTATGCAAACCTCATTGAACTTAACATAATGTTATGACTTTTACCTGATTTAGGTCCTCATGGAGCCAATCTACCAAGATAGTGAGGAACTCGTGAGAATCCTGTTGCTCCATGGTAGAGAAACTGTGACGAAGAGCTCCAACTTTCAACTGGAAACATGACACAACACTTACACCAACCATGTAATGAACGTAGAGGTGTGCGAGCCTGAGAAGTACAATCTAGCCGAGCCCAAGCTTTTTTCTATCATAAATTTACGTAATTACAAAATAATAAATTAATCAGGTATAGTCAAAAACCTTTTTTTAAATGATAGTTGTTGTTGTTTTAAATGTTATTTTATTCAAGAGGCAATTTTTTCAAAATTGGCACTGTTATAGAGGAAGAATACAAGTAAATATTAAACAAATAAATAACTATTCCAACAATAAATAAATTAACTTAGTGATTTTGAAGTGAACTTACTAGGCCTATAATAGCATTAACATAAAAGTTATTATTTGAAAGATATGTACATAAGTAAGTGTTTTGAGATAAAAATAAGAGAATATTTATTTCAGAAGGAATAGATACATTTGCATAGCGGTCTCTACTAGTCTCTTGTGATAGCGTCAAAATCCTGAGTATCTCCAATGTTAACGGAAACATTATAGGCCCTACTCAGCGACATGATCCTGAAAATCTCACTGGCTAAATTCTGGACAACTCCCACTGTTTGTAGACAATATTGTAGTTTCCCGTGGTAACGGAAACGTCATCATAGTCTTCTGCAATAACGGAATAAGCGTAAATTATTTTATCTCAATTGTAAAATCTGGGCTTGAACTCGATTTTGCGATTTTGTGGTTGATCTCTCAAGCTTGTAGGCCAGGCTTGGCTCAGCTCGAAAATGGAACCGCTCGCACACCTCTAAATGAAAGTGTCCAAGCCACACCACAGCTCAATCAATACTTGACTAAATGTTTAATATGACTTAATATTTCTGGTACAGTTTGTAGACTCACCTTAAGAGTTCTGCAGGAGGTGGTGCGGGTGTCTCCCTGCCACAATGTCCTCAGCAGAGTGCTGACTTCCTTGGCTATCTGTCCGTTGGGACTCTCCGTGACGCTGAACCTTGTCAGCTGTCTCGTCAGTGCCACAGTATGACTGATACACTGCATGATGGAGTTCATGTAGCAAAGGTTACCCAGGTTCTTAAGTCCTGTCAATCCCCGGCCCTGCACATGCCACCAGTTGTAAAAGGATTCCTCACACCACAATCAAAATGTCACACATTTAATAAATACACAGTAGGCTATAAAATAATTTGAGGCAAAACAAGTTAACAGTATATTAGAAGTAAATTAGAAGAGTTCTATTTTTGTCAGTTTTAATGCTAACGGACATTGTTTTAAAACAAAACACAAGAAACTATATATCTGTAAAATCTATGACAGACTAAAAAATACTTTCCCAACTTCTGACGTTGATTGGTGAGTCAAGAATAGGTTATAACTGACTTCTAGCTTTAGTAAAAGAAAACAATAAAAAATATATATAAACTAAAAACTGTGTGAATTATTAAATATTTGAGATATAATTAATCTGAGAATGATTGACTGAAGTATTCAGCCTCTCTCTCTAGAACTTATGTGCTCCGGGATTATCGACCTCTCTGCTGACAGTTTTGATAGTAACACAGAGAAGTAAGGTACTGGAAAACATCCAATGGTACACTTGAGTTGTGTCTAGCATAGTGCTGGTGTCTAGGGCAAAGTTCAACACCACCCCCCCCCCCTCGCCAAACGCCGCTTAGGATCTTCCTTGCTCAACAAATATCGCACGGTCGTCCTATCCTCTATATACTTTTTTTCTCTATGGATAGTAAGAAATTAACTGTTACTATGACATGATTTGGTCTCTTCAATGTGGTTCATTCTTATACAAGGGAGGCATTGGGCTCATGTACATTGATTGACCACATCTTCACAAATGATAATGAAAACCAAGAGTGATGTAATCAAATCTTGTCTGTCCGACCACTACGCCAATCAATTTTGATCAACACTAACTTGCCTACTGATTGTTTAGGGGCGAGTTTCACGTACTTAGCTTTGGTACTGGAGTTTTAATTCCATTGATATTGATACCTTTAAATGCTACCTCCCGGCATGAAAACGTCCTGGAGTAAACTGTATGAAGCAAGTAGAAAATATTGAAGGAAAGTTTTAAGTTTTTAACATTACATTGAGCTATCATTGAGATATTTCATTACCAACAAGAAGACTAATAATTTCATTTTCAACGAACTTTAAATGATAATAAACCAATGTCTTTTGTATTATGAGAAGACAAAGCAGCAATCACCTCAACTCTGATCATTTTTTGTTTTTTGCAAAAATACTACATAAGATAAAAGTTCATAAAGGCTCTCTGAACTGTTTTCCCCTTCACTATCGCCTACCCTGTGAAGAAATTTACAAATCACATAAAGTTCTCAATTTTCTATCCTTTCACATCTTAGAAACATAATCATTCATTAACAAAAACCAATCATCGTAGTTCTTCAAGCATCCATAGATATTATCTTCGTGTCAATTTCAGCCTTTCAGTACCAGGACAGCACTCAACCACATAAAAAAACCCCATTCACTTCAATTCAGTTTAACTTTTTAATGACCTCCCTCTTCCATTAAAAGCTGTACAGGACCTCAGAAAATTTAGAAAGTGTGTAAAGTGCATTTTGATGGACGAGGTTTGCTACAGTGTCTGTAAATTCCATTAAAAGGGGTTGTGAGATACCTGTGAAAAGGGCTAAATCCCCCAAAAATAGTTGAATTCAATGTTAATAATGTGGATAATTTGTTAGTTATTTCTTTATATAATTTATTACTTACCAAAGGTAAAAACCGCTCGATAACAAAGTCAGAAGTGATACCAACAACAACTCTACATAGAATATCTATAAGCATTTAAGATTGAACCTGATTTTAAATTAAGTAAGAAGAATCACACTTAGTATCATATTATGATTAATGTACAGCACAGGTTATACTGGTTAATACTAGTGATATGAGTTATCTATATTTCTTCAAAATGAGTTTTTAAATTTAGGCCTATATTTAAATTTTCTAAATAGCTAAACTATTTTGTAATAATCAAAATGAATTAAAAACAATTTTATCTGTCTATTGTAATTTGAACTATGTACTGTATAAAGCATCAAAATACTTACACTTCTCTACAAAGTTAATATGCATAATCATTTAGAGGTAAATTTGTATTGAACATTTAAACAACATCCTAAAAAAACTACAAATTATATAATTTTATCAAACATAAGGTCATATCACATAAATTATCAGTTACATGCAGTGTTATCTCAAATTTACTACTCTATCTGAGATAAACCTCTTAGAGATATATCAAAAAATATTTATTATATTTTGACATTTCACATCTTACTACAGACCGTATACAAGCATGTCTTGACAGGTGTATACAAGCATAATATACCCTCCAGGCAAGATGCAATTATTGAGTAAAAAAATACCTATATTTAAAAAGAAAAAATATATTTACTTAAATTTGAAGACACTTAAAAAAAATGTTCATGACAAAGTCAATTGCAAACATTTAATATTACATTGTTAAAATAGTAGGTTGTATTTATTACTCTGCGAATATTTATTGCATGGGAATAAATTGGTTACATTTTTCCATAAACATTGTAAATTTGAAAATTATTTTCAGGGGAAAATGGCTATTTGAAAAACCAATAGTTGCAATAATTTAATTAAAAAGAAATATTTAGGTTCATTTTCAATATTTGCAAATAAATAATGTTACACATTGAAAAAAAGAGAAAAAAAAGGGTGAACAACTTAACTGTGCCACCATTGGTATCTCAGAAAAGATTAGATTTAGAGAAAACATTAAACGGAGAACTTCAACTATTTTCTTGTGACATACAAAAATATGAATTAAAAATTTTTTAAATGGCCGCCATTTTTCAATATGACGGATAGCTTTGAAATTTCTTATGGAACAGTTTGTATTTTATCATAAGATACAGAGTGCTCATAAGACATTCTAAAGTTAGCTGCCATTTGTGGTAGCAATTTTTAATGACATTCTTATTATTCATATTTTTAATGCATTTTATGATATTTTTTAATCTAGATATTTAAAGACTTTACCTGATGTATTTTTGGTTTTACATATAAATTATTGATTGGATTATTGCTAGATTAGTGATTTACAATTAAGAAGTAAGATAGTTTAGCCAGTCTGTTTACATAATTGGGGGAAACTATCCACTTCCTGTACACTACATCTACAAGCATTATGCGGATACAGTCATACACAACAGTAGGGAAAATAGGTAGGAAGGTAAAATTAAAAAATAATTAATTTAATGATCAAACCTTTTTAAATATGAAAAAAAGTGTAAAATGTAGTCGCAAAATGAGCCCCATGGCGGAGGGAGAGAAGGTAAGATAGCAGCTTGACAGTAACACATGAAGCCTTAGACACGACTGAGCCTCCTCCGAGGCACACAGCAGATCAACTCACGTGGCCACTAACAATAGCTTACCATTGATTTGTCAATCTCAACAAACAAACTTACAAGTCCACCCATAAATAGCTATTTTACATACACATTTAAAGTTGTAAATACAGGGTGTTCAATAAAGGTGGGGTCATAATTTAGGTAGTGATTCCTTGGCTCAAAATGAAGAGAAAATCAAGAATAACATTTTTTTCCAAAATCGCTTTGTTAACCAGATATTTGCCATTTTGTATTTTTTATACAGTATAAACATTATTATCTTTGAACTATATTTCAAAAAGATTGAGATTAAAAATTAACTGAATTGTCGTTATTTCCAGTTGTAAAATGAGGAAACTTTTTACTGACTAGCGCTCTTATTCTCCCATTGTACAACTAAAAATTGTGATATTTCAGCTAATTTTATATGATATTTTTAACTTGGTAATGATTTGATAGAGATTTAAAAATTTTAAATAAAAGTGTTTTTGAACTTTTTTCATAAAATCAGCCATATATTAGTAATTTAAGTTTAAAAAAATAAAACCACTGCCATTTTTAAGTTTTAAGTTGAATCAAGATAATTTTTTTTCTCACAACGGTCTCTTGTATCTTAACATACATACCAAGTTTCATAAAGATCAGTTGAAAAATTTCAAAGATAAAAATGTTTATGTAAAAAAATACAAAATGGGGATATGTGGTTAACAAAGCAATTTTGGAACAAATGTCTTCTTGATTTTCTCTTTATTTTGACCCAAAGAATCACGACAAAATTATGTCCCCACCTTTTTTGAACACCTTGTAGGCTATATATTTTTATTAAAAATTATGTGATTCGAAACTTATTGTTAATTCAGAAAAGTCAATGCAAAATGAACATAATAAATCAATTAATCCTTAATGGTCATATAGCTGAACATTTTAGTAACAAATTTGCTGACATTGCAAAATCAAATTTAGCTGACCTTTACCTTTTTAACTTCCATATATTATTATTGAGAAATGTTAACCTTAATCATAAAATCAGTTTTTGATTTTTCAACAATTTCAAAATAAAAAGTACAGTAGAACCCCGGTTAACCGAAATATGATCTGTTTGTGTAAATCATGTTGTATGGAGTAGAGTTCTGGGGCAGCTGCTCAAATCAAAACCATTTTCAAAATTTAAAAAAATATCTTTAGAATTATGACATTTTCTTAACCCAGACAATCCTGCAAGTTACTATTCAGAGAATTGAAAATATTAACGCTTCCTCCAATTTACATCCTGCAAAAATTAAACTTCATAAATGATTAAAATCCATTGTACAAATCGGTAGGCCTACTTAAATGTATTTTATTCGTCAATCGTGTCTTTGTGTATATGCCGTCGTGTGTGTGTAGGCTATGTTAACTAAATGTCTACCTGACAAAGCTACAATAAGTGGATTTTCATGTTCCTGTACTACGACTATTTGACAATGGCGTTCTGCCAAAACACGTAACTACACTACTAAAGTACAAACTACAATTTTGGAACTGCAGACGAGATAATAACCTTCGCATTATTCTAGTTCATAAAAGATCTTTAATCTTTAATGAATTGAAACCATAACAATAATACAAAATCAAAATTATTTACAACTATCCATTCATAAACTCGCCTCGTTTAAAACACCAACTGCTGTAAAATATTAGATCGAT